ATATAAAGGCTACAGACATTACACATTTTTCAGCTTAATCTGCATTTTTAACATTTCCCTTTCTTAAGAAAAGATTGTCAATGAAACAATAAATCAAGCCCTACTTTGTAGCATTTTGTTGGGTTCCAAGGTGTAAATACTCCCACTAGGGTTGCTTGCAAGCTTCCAACAGGATGTTGCTGAAAGTAGATTTGGAGTCACAGTGCATTATTGTGTAGGATTCCCACCTTAGAGCTATAACTGAAACAGACAACCTCCAAAACAGAAAGAGTAAAATGTAGCAAGATAATCAAGAAACAATGACTTTGTAATATTTATTTCTTTTGTTTCTAATATAATTTATAGATTTATATAATTTAACTTTTAATATATTTTTTAAAGATTTTATTTATTTGTCAGAGAGATAGAGAACACAAGTAGGGGGCGTGGCAGGCAGGGGGAGAAGCAGGCTTCCTGCTGAGCAAGGAGCCTGATGAGGGACTCGATCCCAGGACCCTGGGATCATGACCTGAGTCGAAGGCAGACGCTTAACCGACTGAGCAACCCAGGAGTCCCTATTTTTTTTTTTAACTTTTAATATTTAAAAGCCAGCTCATAAAATTCCTGAAAACCAAACAAGGAAAAAAATAAATAAAGGTGAGGAGAGGTGTTAAGGCTAGACAAAGGGACCTGGGGTCCAAATTTTCAGCCTGAGTCCGGGGACAGAGGTTGATGAGAGTCAGCATGAGCCGGGCTCTACTCTAGGCAATTAAATCTGTCTTCTAGTGACTCTGATGTAGGGAGCCAGAAGAGAACTGTTTGGGACAGAGCAGGGCCTCAAGTGCCTAAGAAATACCTGGGAAATTTTGAAAACATAATTTCCTAGTCCCTAGCCCTAGGGATTCTGATTTGGAAAGAGTAAAAGCATAAGACTTTGTGGTTAATATTTTCAGAGAGATCCTGTGTTCAAACATGGACCCCTGTGCAGTGCAGGGAGAAGGTAGGAAGGGATGTTACCATTTTTCATTGAGATGTGAGAATCTGCATCGTGCTACCAAGGAGATAATGGATTGAAAACCAAAACGGACAGGATAAAGAGCATTGTCGGAAATGGTAAATCTCAGCTGCATTGGCAGAGAAGTGAATGAGTGAGCCAGAGAATACACGAGGTGACACCCAAACGTGGAAGCTCATGATGGAGAAAAGATGATGGACCCAGGAACATGCTAGTTAAAAATAGTGAGAGGTCAGGGCACCTGGCTGGCTCAGTCGGTAGAACGTGGAACTCTAGATTTCAGGGATCGAGCCCCATGTTGGACTTGGAGCCTACCTAAAATTAAAAAAAAATAGAGGTTAGGACACATTGATGTAAAATCATTAAACACTGAATGAAAGGGAATGCTTTTTTATAAATTTGAGATAATAGGTAGACAATGTGATGAATTGTAAAGACATTTAGGTTAACTCCCCCGACCCCAAAAAAACAGTTAAGCTGGGGAATTTAGGGATTAATTCTTCAATGTTACACATTTTTTTCAATGTCACAAACTAGTTCAGACATACTGAAAAAGATTATATCACGTTCATTCTCTAAAGCCATCATGATTCTGATAACATCAGATAAAAACACATCAGAAAAAATATTAATGTAATGAATATAGCGGTGAGAATCTTAAAACATTTGAAGTTTGGGGGCGCCTGGGTGGCTCAGGCATTAAGCGTCTGCCTTCGGCTCAGGTCATGATCCCAGGGTCCTGGAATCGAGCCCCACATCGGGCTCCCTGCTCAGCAGGAAGCCTGCTTTTCCCTCTCCCACTCCCCCTGCTTGTGTTCCCTCTCTCGCTGTGTCTCTCTCCGTCCTATAAATAAATAAATAAAATCTTAAAAAAAAATTTGAAGTTTATGTTAAGACTGCAGGGATAATTTTTAAAAATCTCGAAGGTATCAAATATGAAAAATGTGATCATTTCAGTGAGATAATCTCAAAACATTTGGTAAGTTTAATACTCATTCATAGTAAGACATTTAAAAATACGAAAAAAGGGGCGCCTGGATGGAGTCGGTTAAGCATCCGACTCTTGATCTCAGCTCAGGTCTTGATCTCTGGGTCATGAGTTCAAGCCCCATGTTGGGCTCCATCCGTGGTGGGCGTAGAGCCTACTTTAAAAAAATAAATAGGGGCGCCTGGGTGGCTCAGTCGTTAAGTGTCTGCCTTCGGCTCAGGTCATGATCCCAGGGTCCTGGGATCGAGCCCCGCATCGGGCTCCCTGCTCAGCGGGAAGCCTGCTTCTCCCTCTCCCACTCCCCCTGCTTGTGTTCCCTCTCTCGCTGTGTCTCTCTCTGTCAAATAAATAAATAAAATCTTTTAAAAATAAATAAATAAATAAATAAATAAATAAATAGGGGTGCCTGGGTGGCTCAGTTGGCTGAGCATCCTACTCTTGATTTCAGCTGAGGTCATCACCTCGGGGTTGTGGGATGGGCCTGCATTGGGCTCTGTGCTGGGGGCTTGGGGGTGGGGAGTCTGCTTCCCCTCTCCCTCTGCCCCTCCTCCCCACTTACACGCATGCACACTTGCTCTCTCTCTCAAATAAATAAATAAATCTTTAAATAAATAAATAAATAAAAATGTGAAAAGAATGTGCTTAGTTGGGGCGCCTGGGTGGCTCAATCGTTAAGCGTCTGCCTTCCGCTCAGGTCATGATCCTAGGGTCCTGGGATCGAGCCCTGCATAGGGCTCCCTGCTCAGTGGGGAGCCTGCTTCTCCCTCTCCCATTCCCCCTGCTTGTATTCCCTCTCTCTGTGCCTGTCAAATAAATAAATAAAATCTTTTTAAAAAGGGGGGGGGGGCGCCTGGGTGGCTCAGTCGTTGAGTGTCTGCCTTCGGCTCCGGTCATGATCCCGGGGTCCTGGGATCGAGCCCCGCATCGGGCTCCCTGCTCCACGGGGAGCCTGCTTCTCCCCCTCCCACTCCCCCCCTGCTTGTGTTCCCTCTCTTGCTGTCTCTCTCTCTGTCAAATAAATAAATAAAATCTTAAAAAAAAAAAAAGAATGTGCTTAGTCAACATAATGGGAGAATACTTTCCTCGTTAATATCAAGGCATTCCTTAAGCAGTAATATTAAATAATGTAGTGCAGGTGCAGAAATAAAATTAGTTAGTGGAACAAGATAGAAAATAGTAAAAACAGACCTTCATGTGGGAATTTAGTACATGAAGAAGATAATTTTCAAATCAGTGGGGAAATAATGGGCTATTCAATAAAAGGGTGTTGAGAAAATTGGCTCTTCACTTAGGAAAATGAAGTAAAATCCTTCTATTACATATATTCCTTCACTAACATATAGTGTGGGTGACTTTAAGAGCTGAATGGGAAAATAAAACTAGAAAAATATGAGAGGAAAATGGGTTTAGAGCCCTGGGATATAGAAGACCTTAAACATGACATAAGAGAAAAGCCAGGGCGCCTGGGTGGCTCAGTTGGTTAAGCGACTGCCTTCGGCTCAGGTCATGATCCTGGAGTTCCGGGATTGAGTCCCACATTGGGCTCCCTGCTCAGCAGGGGGTCTCCTTCTCTCTCTGCCCTCTTCCCTCTCGTGCTCTCTGTCTTTCATTCTCTCTCTCTCAAATAAATAAATAAAATCTTTAAAAAAAAAAGAGAGAGAGAGAGAGAGAAAAGCCATGGGGCACCTGGCTGGCTCAATTGGTAGAACATGTGACTTGTTCTCGGGGTTTTGAGTCCTGAGTTCAAGCCCCGCCTTGGGTGTGGAGCCTATTTAGAGAGAGAGAAAGAAACCAGGATGGAAGTGGTTGAAGATTCTGATTACATCAAAATTTAAATATTCCCATGGCCTCAGATACTGTGAAGTTAGACAAGCAAAAGACTAAATAACTGAAAAATATGTTAACGGGACTAAGTCTAAATTTGTAAAGGATGGCAAAGTGGGAAACCCCAGGGAAATGGGTAATTCAGCAAAAAGGATATAAAAGAAGATGCCAGGTTTGTGGGTTTTTTTCCCTATCAGATTGGCAAACAGGAGAAAGGTTACTGATAAACGTTGGCGAGGCTGTGGGGAAATGAGTACCCACATTCCATGATGGTGGGGGTGTAAATTGGAACAGCTACTTTGGAGAGCAATTTGGCAATCTTTACTAAAATAACGTGCAGACCCAGTGGGTTTGGGAATTTTACCAAATTGATGAGACACTGAGATGGGAAAAAAATGAATCAGTTCCAGAATAGAGGGTTTTAAGATGGATGTATCTGAAACAGTATAATTACAGATAAACTTGGTTTAAAGAATTGGCACCGGGGCACCTGGGTGGCTCAGTCGGTTAAGTGTCTGCCTTCGGCTCAGGTCATGATCTCAGGGTCCTGGGATCGAGCCCCGTATCGGGCTCCCTGCTTAGCGGGGAGTCTGATTTTCCCTCTCCCTCTGCCCGCCCCCGTCCCCCCACTCATGCTCTCTCTCTCTCTCTCAAATAAATAAAAATTAAAAAAAAAAAAGAATTGGCACCAAATCCCATTCACAACATCCCCCCAAACACATAATATTTGGAAGTCAATTCAGAATGATTGATATATTGTAAAGGTATCCGTTTGCCCCCGGCAGAATGGTGCAGTTGCAATCAGAATCCCAGCAGGGAGTTCATTCGGTTTGGGTTTTTGTTTTCTCCCGCTAGAACAAAACAATATTATTGTGAAATTAAAGGTTGACATAGAAGTGGGTAATAGGCAGGATATTAAACAGTGTACCAGAAAAGAAGTGAAGTGGAAAGACCAGCCCTAGCAGGTAGAACCATGTATAACACAGTGGCAAATAAAGCGATGGCATCCTCAGTAATGGATGAAGTAAACTTCTGAAGAGGAGTCTTTGCTCTGGGGGGTGAGGGGGTCCTGCCCCGAAGCAGGACCAGGCTCCCATGTCACATGGCCCCAGCCAACTGAGTTCTGTTAGATGGGCTGCTTCATCTCCAAGTTTTCCTCCCCTCCCTCAGTCTGTTGGTTTGTTTTTGCTGCAGGTCCAAGCTTTGTCCTGTGCCAGTAAGTTTGAAGCTGAGCTAAAAGCGGAGCAAGATGAGCGGAAGCGGGAGGAGGAGAAGAGGAGACTCCGCCAAGCGGCCTTCCGGGAGCTCAAGGCTGCTTTCAGCACATAGTCGGGCGACCTTGACCTCCATCCACCCAGTGCCTCACAGATGCCCCCGAGAGAGCTGGCTGGGCATCCTCACCCCTGCCACTCCTGCCCCCCAGCCAGCCTTCGCACCCACCACCCGATGCAAACTCAGCCTCATGGGGCGACAGCTGAGGCTCTCGTCCCTGTGTGGGAGCCCCTCCCAAGGGTCCTGGGATGAGCCAACTGCCCCCCTTGCTTCTCTTTCCTGCCCTCCTCCTGCTGTAGCCAGATCGTGCGTCTACTTGGCAACTTGTACTTTTTCCTTGTCCCTTTGCCGTTCTGCATCGAAGAGTGTTACTTTGTGCAGATACTTGTTTCTTTGCTGGTCCTCAGAGGAGATAGCCCCTGGAGGGCTCTGATGTTAATGTCACCCCATTTTCTTGGGTAATTCTCTGCCCCTCTCCTCTCTGGGTCTCCCTCCCCTTTGTTTCTTATCCACCTTCCCTGTTTTCATTCTGAGCCTGATTCTGCCAGTTGCTTTTGCTGCTTCTGTCTTTTGATGATGGTGAGGTTGAAGGCAAACCAGGCTGGACCACTGCCTGTCCCCTCTTCAATAGGGGGAGTGGCATGCTGCTGAGATGACAGAATAGTAGAAAAATAGAACATTCTGTTCCTTCCTATCACCTTTCTCCTGTCCTTGTAGCATTCCCCACGGACCCACCCCCTTCATTACCCCCTCTATTCATGTCTTCTCATTTCAGCCTTTCCTCCTGCTCTTAAATACTGTCCTACTCAGCTGTAAAAGAAAAATCGGAAGTGATACTAATGTGTAGAAGAATCCCTGTTAATTCTGACTATGCAAATTATATTGTAGCAGACGCCTACATTCCCAAGTGACAAATCCAGAGCTTTTCAAAACCCCCAAAGTCATGACCATCCTCATCTGGCCAGTTTCCAGCTTTTGCTCCCAAGATGTTGAGGTGATGCTGTTCTACACCCAGGGCAAATTTTTATATGTTGTGCGTTCTTGGGATTGCTCGCAAATACCAGGGGTTTGCTGTATTTTTAAAAATACTTCCCAGCATCATATTTATTACTTTTCTTTTGTAACTGCTGTCTTTACAACAGGAAAACATCTGCATTTCTACTTTACAGCTGTCTCTTTTTAAATAAACTGTGCAAATGGACTTTGCCATCACATCCATGTGCTTCTAGTCTTCTTTGATTTGGGGGGAGAGAGTGTTCTTTGCAGGGGCCACATCCATCCCAGGCTCCTGTTTGACACCAGCTCCTGGAAGTAGAGTTAGGAGTGGTAACTGGAGGGTCAGCTTTCCTCAGGGGCATTCTGCGTATTGAGGTTGTGTGTCAGCCGCTCACCCCCTTCCCGTCACCGAGGATTCTCTCAGCCGTAGGTAAAATCTGCGGCTTAAATTCTCTTGCCTCCTAGACCCCTTGAAACTCTGATGAGGGCCAGTGACCCCTCCCTCCTTCCCATGTAGATTCTGGGGCATTTGGGGACCTGAGTAAGGACCTCTGTCCTAAGAGAACACCCATAGCTCCCCAGGGAGGATCGTTTCGGTTTTCGCGCAAAATCAAGACCTACGATTCTTGGGCATTGTTTTTCCAGGTAGGGTCACCCTCCAACCTCCCCACCTGAGGAAGTGGACACGAAAAAGGAACGGAGACACTCTGACCATACAATCCAGGAAGCGTGCTTGGCATTTTCTCAAACAAGCTGAGAACCTCTGTCTACAAAAAAAACCCACACATGAATGTTTATAGCAGCTATTTCTTATTTTCCAAAACTTGGGAGCAGCCAAGATGTTTTTCGGTAGGTGAATGGATAAACTGGTACATTTGTACAATGGAATATTCAGCCATGAAAAGAAATATTAGCAATGAAAAAAAAACTGAGCTGTCACAGAACGACAGAGGAAACTTAAAATGCATATTGCTAAGTGGAAGAAGCCAGTCTGGAAAGGTTACACACGGTATGACAAAACTATGAAAACCATGAAGTAAAAGTCGGGGGTTTTGAGAAGGAAAGGGCAGGATGAATAGGTGGAGCACGGGGAATTTTTAGTGGTCCTATAGTGATCCTATAGAGGTCATTATACATTGTCATTGTCAAAACCCACAGAATGCACCACACTAAAAAGCATCCCCTGATGTAAACTGTGGACTTCAGTTAGTAATAAGGTATCAATATGGGCACATCAATTGTAACAAACATACGCTAATGCCAGATGTTAGTAATGGGGGGAGGGGGGGCAGGGAGAGAGGTATATGGGAAGTGTACTTTCTCCCAAGTTTTTCTGCAAATCTGAAACTGTGCTAGGGGCGCCTGGGTGGCAGAAGCTAGTAGCTTAGCTTCTCTGATCCTCAGTCTTCACCTGTAAAACACAGATTATGATCATCGACCTGGCCGATACCAAGCCTGGCACTTATTAGTGCTCAGGACATAATTGGTTCCCTCTCTATCTTCCCGCTTGCACGACTGCACTCCTGTTTCCTCCTGAGCCCTGGGTCTCCAAAGTCAGGGGCAAAGGATCCCAGGCCAGGGTGGCCCAGTTCTGGCTGCTGCCTTGGCCCCAAGCACAGGTGCCTTCTTTCTCACTTTGTTCTTTTGAGGCTCCTGACCTCACCAGCCCAGGGAGATTCCTGCCGCAGCGCCTGCCCACCTGCCACACCCCCTGCAGCTGCCACTTGCTGAGTCCTCCCGGCTGGATCACTGGATCACGTGACCCGACACCTGTGGCCTTGCCCCTGCTCAGATTTCTGCCTGCTCACCCTGCCTGCCCACCAGGCCGGATTCTGGTCACATCTCTGCCCACAGGGCTGACTTATAGGAACAATGGTTCCATAGCTATCCCCAGGGTCCTGTGCTGGTGGGAGGTCCTGGGGTGCAACTTAGGGTTCCACAGCTTAGGGAAGTGCTGAGGCTAGACCTTATCGGGTCAGTTTCCCCTCCCCTGCATCCTTTCTGAAACCAATCACTTTTAGAACTCTGCCACATGGTATTGGAAGTGCACAGTGCTCTTGCCTTTTTGAAGGGCAATTTGGTAGACTGTTAAAATTGAAAATTGTGGGCACCTGGGGGGCTCAGCTGGTTAAACAACTGCCTTCAGCTCAGGTCATGATCCTGGAGTCCCAGGATCGAGTCCCACTCGGGCTCCCTGCTCAACAGGGAGTCTGCTTCTCCCTCTGACCCTCCCCCCTGTCATGTGCTCTCTCTCTCATTCTCTCTCTCTCAAATAAATAAATAAATAAAAGCTTAAAAAAAATTGAAAATTGTAGGGGCACCTGGGTGGCTCAGTCAGTGAAGGGTCTGCCTTCAGCTCAGGTCATGATCCCAGGGTCCTGGGATCGAGCTCCACATCAGGCTCTCTGCTCAGCGGGGAGCCTGCTTCTCTCTCTCCCTCTGCCTGATGCTTTGCCTGCTTGTGCGCGCTCTCCTCTGTCAAATAAATAAATAGGGGAGGCTGGGTGGCTCAGTTGTTAAGTGTCTGTCTTCGGCTCAGGTCATGGTCCCAGGGTCCTGGGATCAAGCCCCGCATTGGGCTCCCTGCTCCACGGGAAGCCTGCTTCTCCCTCTCCCACTCCCCTGCGTGTGTTCCCTCTCTAGCTGTGTCTCTCTCTCTCTCTGTCAAATGAATAAATAAAATCTTAAAATAAATAAATAAATAAATAAATAAATAAATAAATAAATAAATAAATCTTTTAAAAATTTTAAAAATAAATAAAAATTTTAAAAAACAAAAAAATTTAGTTATTTATCTTTGCTTTAGTGAATCATCTCATAACTTAGTGGCTTAACACAATAATTAACATATATCATCTGACACAGTTTCTGAGGGTCAGGAATTCAGAGGCATTTTAGTGGGTGGTTCTAGCTCAGGGTCTCTCATGAGGCTGCAAACGTCAATTGGAGCTGCAGTCATCTGAAGGCTCAAGTGGGGCTGGAGGATCCCTTTTCAAGTTGGCTTCATCATATGGTTCGCAAGTTGGTGCTGGCTGTTGGCCAGGGGACTCAGTCACTTGCCACATGAACCTCTCCACTGGGCCGTGTGAGTGTCCTCACAACATGGCAGCTGTCCTCCCTCAAACAGGTGAGACAAGAGAGCAGAGATAAACCGCGATGTCTTTTAAAACCTGGCTTCAGAAATCACACTCTGGGGGGTGCCTAGCTGGCTCAGTCAGTAGAGTGTGCAACTCTTTTTTTTTAAGATTTTATTTATTTATTTACTTGACACAGAGAGAGAGAGAGAGAGAGAGAGAGCACACGCAGGGGGAGAGGGAGAGGGAGAAGCAGGCTTCCCACTGAGCAGGGAGCCCCACATGGGGCTCGATCCCAGGACTCTGGCATCATGACCTAAGTCGAATGCAGATGCTTAACTGACTGAGCCACCCAGGTGCCCCTAGAGTGATCTCAGGGTTGTAAGTTCGAGCCCCACATTGGGTGTAAAGATTACTTTAAAAAAATCTTAGGGGTGCCTGGGTGGCTCAGTCGGTTAAGCGACTGCCTTCGGCTCAGGTCATGATCCTGGAGTCCCGGGATCGAGTCCCGCATCGGGCTCCCTGCTCAGCAGGGAGCCTGCTTCTCCCTCTGGCCCTCTCCCCTCTCATGAACTCTCTCTCTCTCTCATTCTGTCTCAAATAAATAAATAAAATCTTTAAAAAAAAAAATCTTAAAAAAAAAAAAAAGAGGGGCGCCTGGGTGGCTCAGTCGTTAAGCGTCTGCCTTCAGCTCAGGTTGTGATCCCAGGGTCCTGGGATCGAGCCCCGCATCGGGCTCCCTGCTCGGCGGGAAGCCTGCTTCTCCCTCTCCCACTGCCCCTGCTTGTTTTCCCTCTCTCGCTGTGTCTCTCTCTGTCAAATAAATAAATCTTTAAGAAAAAAAAAGAAATCACACTTTGTTATTTCCTCAATATTCTCCTGGTTACACAGGTCAGCCTGATTGGAGTCTGGTTGGGACAGAATCAGTCAGGGTTCTTAACTGCAAGTAGCAGGGTCTAAGCAGGCCTGATTTCAGCAGAAGAGGAGCTGACTGAAAAGACAGAGGAGCTCACAAGATCACTACTAGCAGGGTTGGGGGATTAACCTGAGGAAACCGTCAGGAGGCCAGATGACTGAGACTATAACCTAAAGCACACCATGGGAACCAGCCAGCATGTGCCACTGCCCTGGTTGACCAGAACTTTGGGGTGTCCTGTTTCTTCAGGTTCTTTTTTTTTTTTTTTTTAGATTTTATTTATTTAATTACTTTAGAGAGAGAGGAGAGAGAGTGAGCAAGGGGGAAGAGTAGAGGGAGAGGGACAAGCAGACTCCATGCCTAGCACACAGCCTGACACGGGGCTCGATCTCACAACCCTGAGATCATGACCTGGGCCAAAATCAGGTGTCAGATGCCTAACTGACTAAGTCACCCAGGTGTCCCTGTTTCTTCAGGTTCTTCATCCAGGTCCAGAGTCTGAGGCTGAATCCAGTCATGTGCCCATGTGTTAGGGGTGGGAACGGTTAGTATCTGGACAGTTTGTCATCTGTAAAGGAAGGCAGGCTCTGCCTCTGGCCAAGATTTTTGTTTCACCCAAACGTGGGAAAGTATTTCAGATGCAGAATAGCTGTGAAAGAGTAGCAGCTGGGCGCCTGGGTGGCTCAGTCGTTAAGCGGCTGCCTTCAGCTCAGGTCATGATCCCAGGGTCCTGGGATCGAGCCCCGCATCGGGCTCCCTGTTCAGCGGGAAGCCTTCTTCTCCCTCTCCCACTCCCCCTGCTTGTGTTCCCTCTCTCGCTATGTCTCTCTGTCAAATAAATAAAATCTTAAAAAAAAAAAAAAAAAAGGAGTAGCAGCTGTCCATTGCAGAGATACTCATGAGTTTGATCGAGGCGTTTTACTTCTGAGAATTTATCCTACCGGTAAATATAACCATGAACAAGGGTATATTTAGAGCGATACTCATTACTGCATTGCTTGTAATAGCAAAACTACTGGAAACAATGAGGATGTCTATCAGCAGGGGATCGATTAAGTATATTATGGTACAGACATGTAAACGAACACCGCTAGGCAGTCATTTAAAAAATGTGGAGGATTCCAGGGCATACCATTTCTTGGAAAAAGGTTAGGGGCAGAGCAGCATGCATGGTAATTCTTAGGTGTTTTGTTTTGTTTGTTTTACATGAGAGATACAAAATCATGGCTCTGCCCATGAAGGCTAAGGTGCATGGGTCAGGGATCAAGTGGATTTTGGGCAAACATCATATCCTCAGCACTTGGTGGTGCTGAGAATGGAGAAGCACATCATACTTGTCTATGTGTACAACATTTTTGGGGAAGCCATACCCAGAGCTGTCAACAGTGGGTTACATCAGGGTGCCTGGGTGGCTCAGTTGGTTAAGCGACTGCCTTCGGCTCAGGTCATGATCCTGGAGTCCCGGGATCGAGTCCCGCATCGGGCTCCCTGCTCGGCAGGGAGTCTGCTTCTCCCTCTGACCCTCCCCCCTCTCATGTGCTCTCTCTCATTCTCTCTCTCTCAAATAAATAAATAAAAAATCTTAAAAAAAAAAACAAAACAGTGGGCTACATCAGTGGGGGAGAACTGAGGGTCCTGCGTAGGTCTTGGGGGGATTTAAATTTTTTCCTTTATATTTTTGTGCATTCTAAAAACTTAAAAACCATAAGCATGTACTACTTTACTACTATTTTTAACAACAGTTAATAAAAAAGAGAGGAAACTGTCTGACCACCATGAAAGTGAGAAGGGCAGTGGTACATCCATGTGGGAACCCTCTGAGACAGCTGCAATATGAAATCCTAAATATGCAAAAGACTCAGGAGAAAATGGAAAACATTTTGGGACACATCGTGGGACATTTATGTGAAAGGATACGTTTATTGTACTCCGAGATAGTTTTTTATGATTTAATTTTCTTGGTATACATCTGAAAGGTTAGAAATGAGAATAGAATTTAAAATATGCAAATACTTTCATAATAAAAAATGTTTGCAAACATAAAAATGTATCTGTTTCCATAGTTATCATCTGAGCAGCCTTTCCCTGATGTTTGCTCAGCTCTCTGGCTCTGTTTCTTCCCCCAATCTCTTACTTGTGTTTTCTCTTTGGTTTTCAGTTGTGTGCAACACTTTTAATTAGGGGCCCAATCTCAGTGGCCACTGCCCTCTTCACCAACAAATCCAACCTCCCTTTTCATCCACTTCCAAACTTCTGCATCCTCCCTTCCCTATCTCCTACACTTTCCTAACCTTCTGTTCTTCCTGCTCTGTAGATAATTGTAGACACCAAATTCAATGGCTGTTTCCCCAGCCCCAGACTCCTTGACAATTCTGTAGATTTAGCATTGCCAATCAATTTCTTTCTCCCTCTGTTCTGAGACTGGCTCCTGCCCCTAACCTGGTCCTACCTACAACTTTTCTGTGCCCACCAGCTGTGTGTTTTCCTCCCAGGAGCGTGCCTTAGCTCCATACTGTTCCTTTCTGCAATTGCTTGTTGTGGGTGATTCCCCATGATTTCAAAGATCTCCCCTCTATGGATGACTCTCAGATCTATAGCCCAGACCCCTGAAACTTAAGTTGGGTTTGTTGCTGGAAACAACTACATGGGCCTCTCCTCGTAGTCTAGGTCACAGAACGGTGACCTCAGACCATTTGGATTTATTATCTGGCAGCTCCTTGCTTCGAAAGAGACTGTTTTAGCAAACAAGGTAGAAGCTCTAGCACCTTATAGCATTGGACGTCATCTCCTTTCATTTTTCCCATGTTCTATCAGTTATATATAATGGCCTCAGGGGAGGGGAATTAGACTCTACCTCTGGAAAGGGTAATGGCAAGGTTCTAGAGGAGTATGTTGGATGGACAATATTGGTGTTGCCATTTTTAGAAAAATACAATCTGTGGCAATGGATCAACCAGTATTTGTTACATACTAAACTTGTTTCTGGCTAAACTCCTCACTCCTTCCCCCCCTCCCATGATTTTTATTATTAACTTCTCTGTTTCTATCAATGATACAATAAGGGTGAAACTTTGTTATTATCCCTGACTAGAGTGGGCATCAGTCTACTCTTGTAACTTTAAAACCATAATCTAGGGGCGCCTGGGTGGCTCAGTCGTTAGGCGTCTGCCTTCAGCTCATCTGCCTTCCGCTCAGGTGGTGATCCCAGCCTCCTGGGCTCGAGCCTTGCGTCGGGCTCCCTGCTCCGTGGAAAGCCTGCTTCTCCCTCTCCCTCTGCCCCTGTTTGTGTTCCCTCTTTGGCTGTGTCTCTCTCTGTCAAATAAATTTTTAAAAACTTTTAAAAAAACAAACAAACCACTATCTAATGAAACACTGGAAAGACAGAATGCATACCAGAAGGGGAAGGCACCCTTCCTGAGAAGTAGATAATCAAGAATTGCTTTGATTCTGTAGGTATTTGTATGCCAGGACAATGCCAGCTGCTGAGGATGTGAAGTCAAATACTCCTTCCCCCCTCCTCCTCCTTCTCTTCTTCCCTTAAATTTGGTTCCTGCTCTCTAGAAGCTTTTACTTTGGGGCTAAAAATGTGACTAAGGCACTC